CACACAGACACACACTCTTTCTCACACACACACAGACACACATTCTCTCACCCAGACACACACACACACACACACACTCTCTCTCTCTCTCTCTCTCTCACACACACACACACACACGAGCGTGCGCGCGCGCGCGCATGCGCAGCTTCACCGCCCCATTTGTTTCCCTGAGAACCCTGTCTAATACAGATGTTCAGCAAACGGAATCACTCTCCCAGGACTATGCAAAGACCGATGACTGGAGTGACTGGAGTGACTGGAGCTAGGGTACCGATACAAGGTTCCCGATGGCCAGTCTAGTCTCTGCTGTTTCATTTTAACACACAATTGCTGGTTTTATGACCCCACCATCAACCCTGCTGGTTCTGCTGTTTAGCTTTATTTTAAACTTTCAACTGCGGAAGTGCGTTAGCCAAGACTCAGACAGAGTTTGAGGGTCCCGGATCACCCACTGACTTTTTGGCCCACTAAGCTCCATCTGTTTGCTATTTAGATGAACCTTTCTAAGAGGCACAGTTTGCCATTCAGGCATGTGTTCAGTTCTTCACTTATATTTCTAATTAAAGCAACATTAATGCTATTGATTCCTTTAAAAAAAAAAAAGCACATAACGGGTAGGTGGTAAATTAATTTATCCTTATTCGGGGATATAACAACATTTAGACACCTGGTTTCCGACGACTCCCCAAGACGACAGTAACAGGGACAAAGTAAAGGCAGGTGCATCTGAAGTTTTCACTTTACAAGAGACTGTGCAAGCCAGGGCAAGTCTCTATGCCCTTAGGTTCCACAGCTACAACATCAGGGTAATGAGATAACCCCCCCCCCCCCCCCCCGGCCATGATGTGTGGAGGAGCATGGGGCCTGTTAGCACAAGCACACACACAGCAAGTCTGCAATAAATGTTAGCCACTTTGGGAGGTATGACTATCTCTGAGTAACTTCCTTTTTCTTCCAAATGAACAAAATCCCCATAAAACAAAGGAACAAGCAAACATTAGCAATAAACTGGCTAGCAAAAGCCTGCAATTTCCAGACGACCTTGAAGTTCCCAGGGACCATCCTGAGTTCTGGCCAAGGCGAAACACATGAAACATACTGTAGGACTTTCATCGGGGTTTCCTGATAGATGGGGGCTGCCCTTCCCTCTCTCTGTTCTGTTTCCAGGAACACAGACACTAGAGTTCCTGTAACTATCTGCAGTTCCAAGGATGGGTGCAGTAATTGGGTTTCTCTGAACAACAGGTCAGATGCAGCCCGGTTCCCGAAGGGTTTTCTGGATCCATCGGTCCTGTGCAGCCAATCTTTTAACTCTTAGGAGAAGGCGTAAACTCCTAATGCGTTCCTGCTATTATTTCTGGCATCTCTGTTGTGCCAGGCCCTCACAATAGGTAGTCTAAAAATCCAACTAGAGGCTTGAACGCATTTTGAGTCTATGTTTTTGCAGATAAAGGCAAGAGGCGACAAACACAGAAAGGTAGTTAACGTGCACATCTTCTAGACCCCTCCTATGATGGTTCGTCTTGGCTGGCAACTTGATAGGGGTGGAGTGCCTGGAAAACTAGAAAACACAACCTTTGGCGGTGTCCGTGAGGGTGTGTCCAGAGATAGTTAACTAAGGCAGGTGGGGAAGCCTAACCTGACTGCAGGTGGCAATCATGCCACATAGACTGGGAAACAAAAAGAGGAAGTCCCCCAGAGCAGGCGGGGTCTCCCTCCTCTGCATCCTAGCCGCCAAGACGTGAGCCAGCTCTGTGTTACTGTGGTTTCTCTGTCTTAGGACAGGCTCACAGCGATGGAGTCACGCAACCACAGACTGAAGGGAAACCATGAACCAGAATAATCTTTCCACCCTTGAAGTCGTTTCTCTCTGGTGCCTGTCGCCATAGCGACAAAATGCTAAGGGCACCTCCTCTTTCAGAAGTCAGGCTTAGGCCACGATCCCCTCTACTCTGTGGCCTCATGCGCTATGATCCGCATATTATTGTACTGCATGTTATGACATCACCACACAACCTGGACCCATCTGGTTCTGCTCTGTCTAATGGGTCGCTGACTACGAAGCATCTTTTCATGCTGTTTTCCTGAGCAGCTACACCTACAGTCAAGCCTTCTGGAATGTCTGAATGAGGGCTGTGGAAGCGACAGTTTGAGCCAGGAGGCGCATGCAGAAGAGTGACTGACGCCTGCTACGAGGCGACTGCCACTGAAAACAATCTACTCGTAAATAAGTCAATGTATTTCCCAAATGCTCACCTCCTACTCCGAGGTAGTTTCAAGGCTTTGTGAGCAATGGGGAGATGAGCATTTGTCTGACCGGGAGACTAAATAGCAAATAGCAACCAAATCCCCCGGGGTTATGTACTTTATACCCTTAAGTGACCACTGTGATGTCATCGGCTGTTCAAAATTCTACACAAAGATACCAGAGGTTGCTCCTGAGCACAAAAAAGAAAGAAATACACTAGTCAGTGGTTAAAAATAAACCATATTCCTTAAACGCCTGGTCCACTGCTCAACTATCCTGCACTTTTATTCTTTCTTAGTGTAAGTTGAATATGAAAAATGCATAGGTTTCATTTGGACAAGTCAGAATTTGTATGTCTTTAGTACAGAAGTGTAGAAAGATGCCAAACAACAGCTTTTTTAAAAGTGTGTGTGTGTGTGAGAGAGAGAGAGAGACAGAGACAGACAGAGAAACAGAGAGAGAGAATCTGTATCTGTGTTCCTATGTGTGAGACTGTGTATGTATCTTATGTCTCTGTACGTGTATGAGTCTGTATCTGTATCTCTGTGTATGTGTGTGTGTCTTGAGATTCTGTACCTGTATGTGAATGTATGTGTTGTCTCTCTCTATGTATAATGTGTATGTCTTGTGTCTCTGTGTGTGAGTCTGTACCTGTGTATGAGTGTGTATCTTGTATCTCTTTGTGTGTGTCTGAGTCTGTCTGTCTGTCTGTCTGTCTGTCTGTCTGTCTCTCTCTCTCTCTCTCTCTCTCTCTCTCTCTCTCTCTCTCTCTCTGTGTGTGTGTGTGTGTGTGGCGGGGGTGGTATGCACACCTGAGAGGGTCTGGAAGGATGGGGAAGTTCCCTGAAGGTGATCTCTGGTCTCCACTGAGCATACTTTTCAAAGTGAATTTTCTTTCCAGGAGCTCAAAATGATCTATAGATGATACCTCATTGCCTTTCCCCTTGGTCTCTTAATTCCCCCGCTGACTCTGGGGGCTAAACGACTGACAAGGGCATCCATAACCTTTTCTGGACCTTCAGACTTCAGATTGATGATGATTAGAGTTCTGAGGACATGTTTTCAGCTGCCTTCACCCAACCCCAGGACCTGCTAAGTATCCAAGCCCCTGGGACAGAAAGACGCAAGGGAAATTGGAGAAATTACACTACATCCCTCATACATGTCCAGGCCACCCACAGCTTCTCTTGGATCTCTCTGGTTCTGAAGTTGAACTAGACTCCTGCATCTCTGACCCTGACTATGGTGTTGTGACAACTATGGATTTGTTTTGTGAAGTTTTAACAGTGGGTTTGGATTTCTAGGCAAATGATGCCCTGGGCAAGAGAACCCATGGAAAGCACAATGAAGACGTCACCTTAAAATAGTTCCGTCAAAGACAGCATACACTCAGAGGCAAGCGCTCATTTAAATTTTAAGTTTAAATGTTTCTAGAAATGGTTGAAACCTCGGGCCATCAGAAATCGACAAATCACATAAAGCAGCGGCAGGTAATCGGCCGTTATCACCCAAACTCAATTTCGTCAGGTGTTTGGTATACAGTTAGGCCTCCTACTATGAAAGTTTGCAGGCTGCGCATAAACCAAAGTTTCTGAAGGAGAAATTAGCATGTAGAAATCATCTATGCAATCCAATGTAAACATGCAACAAAATGCACTACAAAAATACAGTTATGTTCACACAGAATGCAGCACCTCCCGCACCCTGATATCTACATACAAAATCTTAGAAAGGAATGTGCGGAGATGAGATGGCTCAATTATTAATAATGATGGCTGCTCTTCCAGAGTACCTCAGTGCAGTTCCCAGCCCGCAATGCAGCTCACACCTGCCTGTAATTTCAGTCTCAGGACTTTCCGGTCCCGGAGACATACATAACATGTGCTCAGACAGACACATGCACATACATAAATGAAAATCAATCTTTTAAAAAAAATACCAACCTTAGTGCATTTATAAAAATGTTATTTTTTAAAAAAAGTTTAAGTAGCTAACAAACTCCCTTAATCATCAAGCATTAAAGAAATGCAATTGCTCCAAATTAAATTTTATACCCTTGTCTTTCTATGAACAAATAAAATTCAAAATTAAGAAAAATATTAGCAGCGTGAAAATTCAAGTGCCTCTGGATTATTTAACTTCTCTCCATGCTATAGAGCACCCTAAGTGACATGGAACTCACACAAAGCAAATCATTATAAGGGAGGATATAAAGATATCATCATGCAAAAAGAAAAAATAATCATCTTAGTGTGGTGCCATTACCAAACAGCCAACGGAACTGAGAGGGGAGCGTGGAAGAGAATAAAGAAAGGCAGGCTTGGGACACAGCTCTGTAGCAGAGCACTTGCCTAGCACGCAAGTGGCCCAACAGCCAATTCCCAACCCTCCAAGATGCAGATAAAGGCAGAAGTGACTGTGCCTGAGCCACTCTAATTGCTCACATCTAAAACGGCAATTTCAAACAACACATTCGAAAATTAACTGCAGATCTCATATATCCGGCCAGCTGAAACATGTCTAAGAGGCCTCTGTATTCTGTTTTCCCAAAGTATTTAATAGCGTGTGTGTACACACTCAGAAGGTCGCCGAACGCGGAGGGATGGACTGAGCACACGGCTACCTCGTCCCAGGTTTTAACAAGAAGGGCATCCATCAACCCTGTAGTTTGGAGGAAGCTCTAAAGTGAGCCGCTCCCAGAGACCAGAAATATAAACCACGAAGCCCACGAAAGAAGGAATATTGTACTCACGGTGTAGAGCTCGTTAAGAACCTTCATTAAGTCCTCGTGCAGCTGGAATGCAATCTCTTTGCTCTACGAAAAGAGAATGACAAAAAAACGTGACAATGTATCAGAAAACCCGTTTTCGATTTTTACATATTCTATACACTGCTAACTGAAGATATAAGGATGTATAAAACATAATAGAAAACCAATGTGCCCTTAGTGCCACAAAGCACCTTCAGCCCAAGCCCTTTCTCAAACCGAGGGGCACGGCCGATGGTCTCTACAGGATGGGCAGGGACAGAAGGGGCAGCTTGGATGGCTTTCCAACCAGCTTGTGGGGGAGTGGGAAATGTGTGCACAGGGTGCAGCGTCATGCTGGCTTAGAAGGTGACAGGCAGGCCAGACATGGTGGTGCCTGGATTAATGTTGCATTAGTCAGGCCGAGGGAGCAGGCCGGTGTCTCAGGCCACCTCGAGCCATTGTCTTCGTCAAAAAGCAGGGACCAGTGAGATGTCCCTGGCAGAGGTAGCCTAAGGTCTCCGGTTTGCCCACAGAAAGGTGGGGGAAGAAAACTGACTTTTCATACTTGTTCCATGACCACACGTGCAACATGGTACATGTGCACCCCCACGTACATCCTACACACAGCAACAACAGGACAATAAATGGGAAAAACAGCTAAAAATGGTGAATTTGAGCAATCAGTTTTCCTCATCAATATAAATCGCAATATTGGGGACATTCCCAAACAGCAGAGTTCTGGGAAATGGACTCTTTGGGTTCACTACAAACTTTAAGAGAAGACTTCTGAGTGTGCCAGGGGGCGAGATCACCCAAGGTCTGCACACTTCTACATCTGCCTTTCGTTGCATGAAGACCAAACTATCCAGAGTCTGATGGAGGGATATTTGAATATTGTTTTCATCCAGCTGTGAATTGTTCTAAAGGGAACCACAGTCACACATGTTCATCTCTGAGTCCACCCTGTGGCCGTCTATAGAGAGTGGAAAATGTGTGTGGTATGGCTTCATCTACAGTGGCAGGCAGGAACAGGATTCACTGTACAGTTTCTCATGCTAACTATGAGCACGGGTACTTAGGACACAGGCTTTAAGATGGCTCCTAATCTCACCCAGCCTAGGATTTAAGGTGGCTCCTAATCTCACCCAGCCTGGCCATCTTGGCTAGGTGCATAGGAAGTTTTAAGCAAAGCCTCTGATGACAAGAGCAAGCTGAACTGTTGCGTGTGAGGTGTGTGAAGCAGTTGCTATAGCTACTTAGACCATCTGTGGACCTCTGTGGAGACAGGTCTTAAGAAACTGGGACTCAGATCACATTGGGTCGTCTATTTTGGTGAGGTTGTTGGTTCAGGCCTCAACAACCACCAAAGGCCAAACTGATGAAATGAAGATTCTTGGGTGATGAAATGTTATGGAAAGAAAACACCAGAGTCAAACTGAAGTGCCGAGGATTTCAAATTCATTAGCAGCATTTGTCACCGGGTTTCCTTGGGGTACTGGACAGTGTTGCATGCGCCAGGTTCTGATGGTATCTGAGTCTCTAAATTAGATTTAGGAATTTTAAGTATTGCTCTGTTCCTGTTATAAATATATGGAGACCAAGAATTACTCCCAAATGAAAGGGAACCTACATGTGAGCTAATATAGTCTTCTGGGACTCTAGAGTCCCCCTGCCCCAAGTTGGGACTCCGAATGTGTGCATTCCATTACAATCTCCTGTGACTTGTTTTCTAAATACCAGGTTTCATTCAAAGAACTGGGCCATCAATTTAAACTCTCTAATGGGGCCAAAGGCCACCAAGGAGTCCTGCTCAGTTACTCATGTTTCAGGTAGCAAGTCCAAAAAGAAAATATTTCTTGGCTAAGATTTCCAAACAATAACAGAAAAAAAAAAAAAATCCCCACTGGATCGATTCATCTCACACCAACATATTTAAGGAGGTCAGAGAAAAAGCTTAGCCTGAGATTCTAAGGTTTGTCCATGCAACCCTTGACTGAACATCCTAGAACGAGCAGGGTGGGTCTCGGTATGCTGTACATTTTTACAAGATTTCAAGCGATGAGGTAGAAGTCTGGTATTTGCTTGCATGTTAATTTCACCTTTCATGAGACCCTCTGCACCCTCTATGTCTCTCTCTACAGGAAGAAGTATGTCATAATGCTCGAAAGGTTTTCCAGGGTTCCCAGCTATGTGGACTTCTCGGAGACTTTAGCTCTCCATCTCAGTTTGTGATCTGTAGGATGAATGGTAACTCTTCGATTTAAAGTTCACTGACCCTCGTGCAAGAGGCTCTTTTTAGAACTGGATTCTGACATCACTCCCCATTGCCCAGCATGCATTTCCCCCTACCTCCTCACCATGGATAAGGACTGAATGAATTAATGAAGCATATACTGGGGAACTGATAACCCCTGAAGCCAGTATGACACATCTATACATTCTGTGAATGAGACCCCTGAGGCCCTGTCTCTAGTGGTAATTTTAGTGACTGTGGAAAAGTCGGTAGAGCATTGTTCCCAACAGAGAGACCCTTTGCTAACCCCCAGATAAACTCTCACAGTTCCTATGTGTTCATTGAGTTGAGATCTAGACCTGCCCTGACCTACCATCATTTTTTTCCCCTTTTCAGATGAAGTCTTATTATGTAGCCAGTGCTGGCCTTGAACTCATGCCTCATGAGTCACCACACTGGGGTTCACTATCACTCCTGTCTGTGGGGGATCCACAAGGATCTGGTTGCTTTGAACAACAATAGTTTACGTGACTACTATGAGAAACACGAACTCAGTTATCCTTGTATTTGGAGCCACATGGACCGGAAGGATATCAATAGCTAATCGGAGGGCTGGAGGCATGGTTTTTGCTCTCATGGCATGGAAAGCTTACAAGGGTCACTTCATCTTACCCTCCCTCATTCCAGTCAAAACACGTCGCCCGTGTATTACTGTCACAACCAGAAGTCATGATTTCCTTTAAGTAATACTCCAGATACAAAGAAAAACATTCACCTAGACCGATAAACTGAAACCCTTCTTATTGCTTAGTGGGGATATAAAATAATAAGCCATTGGAAAATTCCTGTATGTCACAGGTTATCAAAATTCAGTAGGGTGTGTGTGCACCTGGATCCTATTTCACTAAGAATTGAAAATGGAGAACTTTGACACTTGAGCAAGGATTGTTGTTGTGTAGAAAAAAAAATGGCACAGTTTTGTGTGTGTGTGTGTGGTTGTTTTTGTTTTGTTTTCGAGACAGGGTTTCTCTGTAGCTTTGGAGCCTGTCCTGGAACTAGCTCTTGTAGATCAGGCTGGTCTTGAACTCACAGAGCTCCTCCTGCCTCTACCTCTCAAATGCTGGGATTAAAGGCGTGCACTATCATTGCCCAGCTGGGCACAGATCTTAAGGACAGTAACTACTATTCTTTCTGTCCAAGAAAAATACTAACAAATCATACTTGCTAGGGATAATGTTTTTCTGCTCTTTGAGATGTAGGTAGTTAAAGTTACTTTTCCATAGAGAAGGAGGAGAGCCTCTTGATGCTCAGAGCCCCCTAGAAATGCAGTTAGGAAGGACCACTCCCTCCCATGCTATGCCTACAGGAGCTTAAGGGCACTCAGTTTTCCGCTGTGCTTTGACAGGATGCTGGGATTCTGAATCGAGGGCAGGGAAAGTGGTCGGGGCTGCGATTTAGTTAACACTTGTTAAATGCCACATGAAGCATATACTAGAGAACTGAGAACCCCTGAAGCCAGCGTGACACTTCTGTATGATCTATTAATTATGTCTTTGAGGGCCCGTCTCTAGTGGTAATTTTCGTGATACACCCAGGGGTAAGTCCTAAACTCCTAATTACCTATTATTTATCATCACTTTGATATCTCAGATACATCGACCATGAGTTCCGAATGAACATTTCCAAGGTTTTCATCTGCTGCTTTCATGATGAAAAGGAGTGAGACGTGTTGAGCGATACTGGGAAGGAGGGACAAAGTGACCACCATCGTGATACAATGTCTTTCCTTCAAAAGTACATTTATCAAACATGGGTCTGAGCTATAATTATTCCATCATAATCAAGTATGCTGTTCTACTAATTTGCAGCTACCAAAATTTCTTCAAGTGTTTAATATCACGTTCAGGAGGCATTATAATTTGATTCACTGCAACCACCCAGGGAGTGTGCCCATCCATCTTACGTTATTACTTCTTATGTTGTCGTTATTTCCCACCAATCATGCAATAAATAGCTTACTTTATTGGCTTACTCATTTGCTGCTGGAGTTTCTTTGTCCCACCAGGTTCAGCCCCAAATAAGCACAGAGACACTATAGTAGTTATTAAACTGTTGGCCGATGGTAGCTCTTCTTATGGCTACTCTGTCTTAATTATTAACCCATTTCTATTAATCTACGTATTTCTACGTGTTCTTATCTTACCAGACAATGCCTGGACTTGTTACTCCTTTGTTGGCTACATGGCATCTCCTTGAGGTGCCTCTCTGCCTATCTTTCCCAGAATTTTCCTTTCCCAAAACAGTGTTTATTCATTAACCAATAAGAGAAACACATATACAGAAGGACACTTTCACGTTAAGACAAGATTTCCCAGTTTAGCTTGGGCTGACTATCAATTTACACTCTTGCCTTATACCTTAATATATTTTTTTATTTTACGTATTGATCCCAGTTCCCTCTCCCTCCCTCCCTTCCTCCATCCCTCTTTCTCTACCCTCCCACCCACCGCCACATACACCTGGACCACCTTCCCCTCCCACCCACCCCTCCCCCACTCCACATGTAGGGTGATGCCTTCCAGGAGGGGTCATCTAAATCTGTCAAGTCATTTGAAGTAGGGACTAGGACTTCTCTCCTGTCTTTAGGTTAAGAGAGTATCCCTCCATGGGGGATGTGCCCCCAAGGTCCTTTTGTGCACCAGGAATACATCCTGGTTCCACTGTCTGAGGTCCCTTAGACTGCTCAGTCCTTCTAGCTGAGACCTGTATTCAGGGGGTCTGAATCAGTCCCATGCTGGATTCCCAGCTATCAGTCTGGGGACCCGTTAGCTCC